CCTTGTATCTTCTAAGGCTGCCTGTTGTGGAGCACTTAGTGATCTGGCTTACTTCTATTTTTCAGAATTATCAATGTCATTCCAGTATAAACATCACAACATTACTCAAGTATGTATCTCTGTTCCTTATGCATTGGGGAATGGTTTCCTTCCATCTAAAATTCTTTTCCTTATTTTGTTGCACTCTCCCTCATTCCTCAAAACGATTAAAATACTGCCTCTCTTCGGAAACCTTTCCTGGTCATCCTTTAAATTTTTAGTCAAACTTGAATCAAAATTATGTGTTAAGTAGACTATAAACTCCTCATGACTCAATGTTACCACTCCTTGCCCCTTGGAAAATGTTAATATTTGATACAATGTCCAGCAAGCAAAAGTTTCAACCTTTTTCTATCAAAAGCAGTATTTTCTCACTTATAAAATTGGTGGCCTTTATGGAAAGTATTTTTAAAATCGTTCTAGCCAAACAGTCATTAGCCAATTAACCCAAATATTTGCATGGCTTCCTCAAGTCTTTTTCTCAGTGAAAAATGTCATTTTCTCAGTGAGGTTTTACCATACTACTTAAATATCTAGTACTCTTTCCTGGTACTCTCCCCTTTTCTGATTTATTTTCCCTATAGCACTTTTCTTTCATTAACATACTCCATAATTCACTTAAGTGTTTTGTTTATTGTCTCCCTCCACCAGAATTAAATCACCAGGAGGGTGGCCCACTTTGGTTATATTATTTATGGTCATGTTACCATGTGTAGGACACAATCACTATTTGTTCCCATAAAACACACTGCAAGAGAAGAGGACTAGTCCACAAGACAAAGCTAAATAAGTCTTCCAGCTTCTCCTGTTTTGTTTCTCCCTAGTCATGCTCCCCGCCTTGGAATTTAGTGACTTCCATTTCCTCCCCACATCCCTGGGAAAAGCCTGCTCCATACTGAAGCACAAAATATGCAGACAGCTGTAATCTCAAGATGTATGACCAAGGCCCACCATGTACACCACTGGAACTAAGAATCTGTTCACTACTTATGACACTTGCTTGACATCTCAGTTGGGGCATCACGTATTGACAAATAGAGGGAAGAGATGGTATCTTTCTGTTGTCACTGAAATACATGCAACTAGAAATAATCACCTATGTGAAAACAATGACAACTAAAAAAAAAAAAAATACTTCTGAAGCACCTCCTAGTGTGCATTTGTTTATCTGTTGGTCAATCTCTTCTACATCCTATCTCCCATTTTAAGTCTGAGCTGTGATGTTGGAGTCAGAATATAGGAAATATCATTTAGAAAGCAGAAAGTTCCCAAATGTATATTTTCTTCTCTTTACCAAATGAAATCCTTAAAGAATCATATAGGAAAGTCTATCCTTTCCACTCCTGGATAGTTTTGTGGAACTGGTGGCGGGGTGGTGTCAAACACTGTTTGAAAAAGGTGGAGGGTAAATCTCCTGCTCTGCAAATCTGTGATTCTAGAAAAACTTGTATGAGAAAGGTGGTCCAATAATAAGCATTCCAATAGGATCAGGGATCCTGAAGACTCTGAGGCTATTAAGTGCTTTAGCAAACTTCCCCAATTCTACCAAGAGAAACCGTTACTAGGTAGGGCTGTAGTACCTTTTCTGAAAAGAAGGCAGTGGCAGTGGCATGATGGCGGTGGTGACAGGCAACTATAAGGATTTTGTCTCCCAACATCTGAATAGGATATATTAAGGGATCCCAAAACTCCCTTTAACCCCACTTGAGAGGGGCCCAGAGATGCTTGGAACATGGTAAAATAGCAAAACCCTGCTCATAGAATAGACATCACAGTAGACTCAGATTTTGAGGCCATGTAAAAATAACTATGATCCTGGGCTATAATGGTGTACACTACAAAATACTTGTTTTTATCACAGCAATCAACAGTTCAGGAAGCAGAACAGACTGGCTGCTTTCTATCCCCACCCAACAGAGTTTCCTTTAACATTGCATAGTTCTGAGGAACTTTCCTTTTCCACCAATATGAGATTATATAAATCATACCTTGACACCATCTTTGAAAATCGTAAAGAGAAAATATGAGGATTTCCATAAAAGGGCTTCCTAGCAAATAGGTCTCTGTGAGGATAAGTTAAACTATAAAAAGAGAATAGCCATATTTGCTTTGCATAATATATAAAGAGTGAATACTGCTGACACCTCAGTGTGTCTTTGACACAAGTTCAGTGAGGCTTTGGGGGCTACTCTAGGACTTTAGAGATTTTATATGCAGAAAATGTATACAATTTAGAGTGATTACAAACCCCTATGCCAAAATTAAAATTCTAAGGCTATGATCCAGGAAAAAGAGCATTTTCAAATGTAGACAGAAGATAATCAGCATAAAGTGGAAAAGAAGGGTTAGGAAAGGTTATTCTTATACCTCTTATTGGTCTGTAAAATTTAAAAAATAGAGTCATCTTTTCAAAAAGAGAGAAACAATATTGTTATCAAGTCTTGAACATATTTGGAGATGGTATATTTAAAATAAGACATTAGACTTAAATAATTATCAGGAAGAAAATACATAAATAATGTATCATAAATTTGCTCCACCTGGGGAAATCCAAGGAGCCATTCATGGATCCATACCAATCTTGTGAGAGTAAGTTACTATCTAAACTTGAGCCAAAGAGCTGAAGTTAAAGAATATATACTCCTTGGGAGTAAAGAGGGTCATGATTAGAGATTAAGCTGTATAATCTATGTACACAGGCTGCTTCTTTTAGGTAGAGGTAGTTACTCATGCCCTCTTCAATATTCAATACACACTAGTAGTTCTTCTCAGTGCAAAGGAAGCATTTCCTCCACAAAATCTGCAGATCTTACTGGGTGAGGAGTAGGGAGGAGTAATGAGCCAGTATTGTCAACAAGCTGTCCTTTCTAGAGACCACATAGAAATTTAAAGTGAAGATTCAATCAGCAGCCAGGTTTCCTGGCCAAATTTAGAGCAATTGTGTGGATGTTAATAGGGAAATAAAAGCAAGATAGTCATGAAACACTTGGAAAAGGGGCAGTTAAGATCCTAATCATGAACACATGTGCTTTACAGGAATATCAAGGTTTGCTATGGTTGCAAAATATATTTTAAATATGTTCCAGCTTAGGGTCCCTTCTCAGTAGGTTCTTCATTCAATTTCCTGAACACTGTTTAACTGCCATTAAGAGTTAATAACAAGGCTAATACCAAGAAGAAGAAAACTAAGTCCACTGCAGAATTGGGAAGCTAATCATAGGAGAAGCCATTGTACATAGACAAAATTGAGAAAAATGCCTGCTTCTTACACTTTGGGACAATTTTTTTAAAATGAGGCAGAGGGCTGCAGATTTAGGTTGGCAGCACTGTGCCTGCTTGCAAGCACAAGCTCCTAAGTTCCATTCCCGGTTCAAAAAAAAAAAATGCAAAAAAGAAAAGTGAAGTAAGTTTTCATTCTCCTTTTCTTTTTCTTTCTTTCTCTTTTCTTGGTACTGGGGACCGAACTTGGTACCTTACTCTTGCAAGGCAGGCAGCAGAACCACTGAGCTTCCTTTTATTCACATAGTTAGGGGCCAGAAATGAGAGGGGTGATGTATCACAAGCATGTAAATAGCTTCGGAGATAAACAACAAGCCCTCCCTCAAATACTTCATTTTGGGGCTATGATTTCAAAAGAAATCCATGAATATTACCATCTGCCATGAAGCAAAAGTAGTAGAGATGAGGCAGTGAATCAATTCTTGATACGGAGGTGGAATCCGTGCCTCTCAATCATGGCTGCGTAAAGCACAAAGCACCCAGTGGTTTTTGTAGGTCCAAGAAGGGATCAACATATGAAAACGTTGTTCATCCTAGAGGTGGCAGGGCAGGATGTATAGATTCTTGTGGATGATGAATTTTAAACTAAGGGAGAGGTCCGGAGTTAAAAACTGCAGTGATGAACGTCAGCGCAAAAACTACATAGGATAAGAGCACCTCAGACCGGGGAGCTTCCCTGAACAGCTGCTTTTCAGCAAGCTTCAGCTAGACCCCATCAGAATTTATATGAATCTGAGATTTCCCTTTTCTCTAAAATCATATCAAGCACACCCCTACTTGACACTTCTTGTTATTTATATTAGATAAATGTAGGTAGGAAAATAAAAACTCTGCGAACCTAAGCATATGAATTTGAGAGCCTGAATAGTTTTCCACAGGTGTACTAAATCATCATGCTGGACTCAGTTAACTGGATCATAACAGAATTCTTATACAGACTATTTCTTAGGTGCAGTTGGTCAGTGAATAAGAGTAGATGAGATATAAAAATGAAAATTTCATAATTTCATAATCCTGCTATATTATACATTAAATTAATAAGGAAATGGTGTCCAAAGGCCAATTAACAAGAAAACTCTTTTATTGATAGAAAAGCAAAACAAAATTTTCATGAATTCTAATATCTATTTTATTCTACCTGTTAGATATACTCAAGTTCAAAAATCAGTCTGTTGCTGTCACTGTTGTTATTGTTAATTCCTACAGAAACAAGCCAATGCAAATACAAGTTACAGGGAAATATCCCTGCCTCACACACATAAGACCACCTTGTAAATCACTGTCCCCAATTAAAGTTAATTAAATTCATATTATCACTTAAGCATTTTTATCCACACCAATTGTATTATTAGGTTGGTGGCAGTAATAAGTATTGATATCAAGCCATGTCAGCTGTTTCTCAAGTGTTACCAAATAAATTAAAAAAGAGATCAGAATTAGATTTATGTTTAACACAGTGATTAAATATCCTAATATGGATAGGGCAATTCATTCTTTTATGAACTGAAGCATCTGTGAGCCACAATCACCAGTTCCAAAATGGAGCAAGTGGCTTTTTGGATTCACATTCAAAGTCCAGATTCACATAGGAATAGCTTTGAGGAGCCTGAGCAGATTATATTAAAGTTCTGGTTCTAATTTAGCCCATAACTTTTCACATAATATCAGCTAGTAATTACTTATCTGTCATCCACATCAAAGCATTTACAGGATATGTGTACATATTGGAAAAATAAACTTTTAACCAATACCAAATTCAATTTATACATATAGAAATGGAAAATTCAGATGCCAAATAACTTTTAAAGCGACTTTGTCCATATTTTCCAAAAAGTACTTATCAGACTAAAAATTAATGGTCATATTTTCACTTTACCTTTACCTATGTAGATAGATATAAATTGTACTTACACGACATAATAATTTTTAAGTGAAAAATTGAACCATAGTCCAGGTTTGTGGTCTAGATGGCCCTAACTCTCTTCTGGATATTTTTTCATTCCATCTAGATACTTGGACCACATTGATATGGTCAGAACTTTATTATCATTGCTACATTTGAGTTACTAGCATAAGAAAGAAAGCTTATCTAATTACCAATTTCCAAAGTCAAATAAGACTCTTTCCCCTTTCATTAAATAAGGAAAGTCATTCAGATTTCACCGCAGAGAAACAATTGCATGCATATACCTGACTTCTCAGTATCCTCTCTGGATAAGAGAATGGAACAGCTATTTGGTTTCCATCTCATTCTTGTAATGACAGAAAAGAGAATACAAAAAGTCCATTGTAAATTTGTACAAAATGTATGCATATATAAATACGTATCTATGGGTGTATATAAATTCTAAAGATTATATCCATCTACACCTTTAAGATTCAGAGTCCCATACAGTTTACATAAATGGCATTCTCTCTCCAATTTTCTCATTTTTCAAAACAATAAGAATCAAGCATGCCACCTTATTAATACTGAATAGCAAGAGCAGAAGTTGAGCTATAGCTATAGGGGTCCGAAGCAATTAGTTTGACGGGACATCAGTGAATAAAATCCTTAAATTTAGCTATTTCCAGAGTGCCTTTTGCTTCATATAAACAAAGACTGAAATTCCCTGTTGGTAGCATCCCAAACTCCTGGGACTGTCAACTGAGCTCTACAAAAAGCAGTGTTTTATACAGAGTTTATATAAACTGCCTGGATATGTGCTTATTGCAATAAATTGGTGTGGGGACTGGCTTACTAAAATTTCATGTAATTCTCTATCTCATTAAAATCTCATGTGACACCACCAGAAACCTAAGGTTCTGAGTATATTAAAGCTAATAAGAAATTTGATTAAAACCTGTATTATCTTCTCAGAGGACAGTATTAAAAATATTAAACCATAGTAAATTGATGGAGAAATCAATTTTTTTAAACAAAGATTTTTAAATAATATACACTATTCTTTTAAGTCTCTTGCTTCTTCTATTCATTTGGAAAACACTATATAGGACAATATCCTCCAGGGCGTACAGGCTCTTCCTTGGAAGGAGATTATTATTGCATGCCTTGAATGTACTATAATTCATAAGGCAAGAACATATGAGTAGCTTCAGCACCGAGGAAATAGAATCATCATCTAATACAGCTCACAACTGAATATCTTATTGCTTTAATAAAATGGGAAATTATTCACTGTGAAAAGTGCACCAAATAAGGGGTAAAATTAATTTCCATATATTTTAGTAGAGCTCATGAGAAATGAGGATGCTCCCTTTTGGGTTCTTGATTCTATCCTACATCCAAGTCCAAAAGTCATTTTATAATAAGGTATTAAAGAATCAAAGCTGGATATTGGTAAGGTACAAAAATTAATGAACTTTCCTCTTCACAGTGCCTTAGTCATTCTGATGTACAATGTAGAGCTCTTATGCACTAACAGATTCCCTAGTGGCTTGAGGGAGTTAATGTACTGTTTTACTTATTAAGAAGTGACTAAGGCACTGGAGAGAATCTGGTTCATTGTTTAATATTTTGTATCCAAAGACTATACCTGGTCTTCCTGATATTACAACATAGGGTGTTTTAATGATGATCTGTGCTTCAGGAAAGAGTATGACTGACTAATGGGTGGTTAAAGTTAAGCTTAAAATTCTTATAAAAGATGCAGACTGAACTTGAGCCAAGATGACCAAAAATAGTACAGTTGATATTTTTTCTGGATAAAAACATATATGCCTGGAACCAAGACAGCAAATCTAGAACCACTAGTTACTTGAAAGAGGGGTGCACTTTAGTGCCATTGCTGCCCTGCACCCAGAAACATTATAAATATTCTTTTGGTTAAGCTTTTTGTAAACCATTCTCATTCATACATTTTACAAATATTTCAATAGCTGTCAAAGAATTGGTTCCCAAGAAGGAATACCACTGCCTATACTTGAGATTTTAATATGCTTCTGGCCCCTTCTATCATCAATCGAAGGGCAACAAAGTGCTAAATAATCATAGGCAGACTCCACTTCTAAAAGAGATGGGCTTGTCTGGCATCAGGAGACAGATCAAAATAGATCTGTCCTCAATACTTTTTCATATATTCAGAGAAATTATCCTTGCCAGAGTATTAAAGAAGAGAGCCCATCTTTGCTGTACCTCAGACATGAGCACAGATTTTTTTAACTGAACAAACTGTAAATATTTTTATCCCATAAGTATTTGCTGATTTCATTCTCTTAAAATTTGCATGTCCTGTCATCCCAATTGCCCAATACCCCACCAGTTTTGCCCCCAAACACATACAGTACAAGCAAGCACACACACCACTGCCTCCAGGTGTTAACTTAACTGCATGCAGGGAGAACTACAGGCACTGTTTAAATATTAATCACATTTTAATAGATGGCATTCCTGCACATCCATTATTTGTTTGTCTTCTGTTGTTGTGGTTGTTCTGTTACTCGCAAAATAAGAAGGAAAACATGTGTGTCATCTTTTTATAACAGTCTACTACAGGTAAGGTACAAAAGAACACTTCTAGAAACAGCAGAAGCCAGGCCTACACCACTGAGTTCCTCATTCAGTGGTAATCATTATATCAACATCTGGAAAGTAAAAACAAGAATATACAGTTTGGATGACTTAGTACAGAATTAGTTTTCTTCTGTATTTGGTACTGATATAATAAGTATATAATAAAAGTGCATTCATTCTAAAAATAAAACAGAAACATCCTGGTTGGTTAGATAGTGTACTTTCAGTACTGTACATCAACTAATAACTTTTTTTTTTTTTACAAAAAGGGTAACTTATGCAACATTTAATAAGAAAACCAATAGTACACGCTAACCTAACTGTAGAAAAAGAAGTGGGGGAAAGCCAGTAGAGTCACTTTCCAAAACAGCCCCTCCTCCACCATCATAATCAGAGGAAGTACTGTAACCATGACCCAGGCGATTTCAGCACCAGACCTTGCCGGACAGCTCTCGGGCCCTCAGACTCCTGAAACTGCCACAAGTCAAAAGATGGACAAGTGGGTTGGGCAGGGAAGGGAAAGCAGTAGGCTCTTTTTCTTTTTAAAACTAATTTATAGATTCAAATGTATTTATTATGTTCGGCCAGTGAGAGATATTTACTAAGCAAAAATGCCGAATTCTGGAAAAAATAATGGAGAGCAGTACCTATCCTAAATATTTTTCTGGGATTTTCTCTGTGGCCTCTTGTAGTCTTGCCGCTTAATGTAGAATTTTTTTTGTAGTATAGTATGCCCGAGCCCAGCTGAGAGTGGGAAAAGGGGAAGAGAGAGAAGCTAAAGGAAAAATGCAAGCTGAGGGGGTGCCTTAACTTGACAGCTATGTACAACGCGGCCCCCTCCCTTCCTTTTGCACCAGGTTTCAATGCCTCTTATTTGGTAGCTTGTGCAGTTTTTCCTCCTTACTGAGGGGGATATATGATGAAGAGGGAAGATGCATCCTTCATTGAAAATGAGAAAGTATGTGATTTGTCATGCGCTTGGATTGTGTTATTAGCATTATAATAATTACTATAAATATCAACAAAGTATTATCAGCACTATTTCTTCTTCCGAGACTTTTCTTGCCCAATATTTACAAATACCGCACAGTGCCTCGGCGGAGGAGAAACAGAGTGGAGGGGGTGGGGAGATAAGGAAAGAAGAAAGGAAAGAAGAGCCAGAGGACAACGGAAAAGGAGGGCAGAAGGAAGAACAGCGAGGATGGCAAAGATGCTAGAAACAAGAAAGGGCTGAGGAGAGGAGCTACACAATCAGGACAGTACCACCGTTTGCAAAAGGCCCTCGCCAGCTGTGTCCAAAGAAGAGGAGGTTGCATTTGCCCCTTGTGGACAGGGCGCTGATTGTGGAGGCGGCGGAGGAGCACAGGGACCCTGGAAAGGAAGCCCAGGGGATGAAGAGGAGGAGGAGGAAGTGGTGTTGCAGGGGGCGCTGAAGGTGGAGTCCCTGGGCTGCCTCTCCAGCCGGGTTTCTTTTCCTTGAGTTGGAACCTGACTACCAGCCCGGGGCAGCCCCCCTCCACCACGGCTGCCGCTGCAATGATCCCTCTCGTATTCCTCCTGAGCCCTCTGCATTTTCCTCTTCTTCATCCTACGCTTGTGGATGTGGAAGGTGGAGAGGGACAGCACGATAAGGCAGAAGATGAGAGTGACCAGGACAATCAGCACCAGCGTAGAAGAGAAGGACTGGAAAAGCTGCTGTCCCACCTGCGTGATGCAGGTGCTGCCACCTCCACCGCCTGCGCCGGGGCTGCGGGCACCCGCGTTACCGCTGCCGCTGTCGTTGGGGGAAGCAAAGGTCCGATTGAGGAGACACGGCGGCAACGCCAGCCTCAGCTCCTTCGGTGCCCGGGCACTCATCGGCGCTGGGCTGGGAGGGGCCGGGCCCACCAGGCTTCCTCTCTCCGACACACCGTTCCCACCAGCCAAGAAGAGGACAGAGCCCACGGCGCTGGAAACTACTTCCTGCACAGGAGGGAGCGCGCACGCCAGCCAAGGACCAAGGAAGCGACTGCCGGCAATCGAGAGGGCCAGGGAGCCAGTGAGGCTGGGGAGATCTTCAGTCTCGCCTCGAACCGGTCTCCGGGAGCCCTTTTCCTTTGCAAAAGCAGAGCTGCAAAAACAACAGGCTTAGTTAGGGTCCCAGTCACTGCCAAGAACAATCAGTCACCACTGCAAGCCGTCCCTGGTCCCTGGGATCGCTGTCTCAATCGGGGGCTGTCCGTGTTCTGCGCAGTCATCGACCCCAGCCCCACCGATCCCGAAGAGCAGGAGAGCCGCTCCTGCAGGCTCCCAACACTCTGCAAAGGGGACCACGCCAGCACAGCGGAGGAGCAGATTACTCAGCAGATAAGGCGCCTTTCCCAACTTTCTAATTGCCACAGACACAGAAGCTGCCTCGATGACGTTCGTTCCCTACTTCCCAGAGTACCGATTCTCTTTCCTAAGCCCTTGCCTGCATCCTCCTACCCTCTCCAGCACCCATTCCGAGCCTCCGATCAGGCTCGGGTACGCAGTTCTCCTTTCCTGTGCGCCCCCTCCAGACTCTTCCTCCCCGGACGCGTCAGACCCCTTAGGTCCCATTCTCAGGGGGTTACTCCTGACACCACATCCCTCTCTGCCTCAGTCCACACCCGCGGCTGACGTGCAAGATCGTGCCCCGTCCTCTCTCCCTCTTTCTTCCCTGGCACCTCCTCCAACCAAAAAAATGAAGCAGCTAAACCACCTTTCTCAGCTGAAGCGCACTCCTGCAAACGCCCCCTTCCTCCCTGTTTCCCTGTTCCACTCCTCCCCCAGTTCACAGTAACCTGCTTCTTTCCGAGGGACCTGGAACTGGAAGAGGAGGGTTCCCGCCTGCAAAGTTGGGGGAACAAACCCTCTCTCTGGCCTTCCCCTACCTGGCCCGAGCGGCCTGAGGCTGTTTCTGGGGTCCAAGCCAGGTAGACCCTGCACAAGCAGCACAGCCTCCTTACCGCTCCCAGGAGGCAGCTGCAAACTGTTGCACTACGGAGCTGAGAAACAGCGAGTAAACCGGGCCGGGGGCCCAAGCCGTGGGCAGGGGTGTCTGCCTGCGCAGGCCTCCTCGGGAGCAGTCCTCCCCACCTCCCCACTCGGACCCTGCCGCAGAGCCTGCCGGCCTTTCTAAGGCTTTAGCAACAAGGCATTTCTTACCTGGAGCCACCAGCGGGCTGTAGGGAGGGAGACCCCGCTGCGCGGCTGCGGTAGTGGTAGCGGCTGCAGAAGGCAATGGGTGAAGGGGCCAGAGACCAAGCCGCGCTGCCGCCGCAGCTGCCTTCGCTGCTGCTTCAGGGAGCTCAGCTCCCAGCCTATTGCCAGAGAGGCGGGTGACGTCAGGCAGCCACCGCCAGGGCTCCAAGCCACCCCGCAGGCCCCCACTCACCCTCATACCCCAACACCTTATCCTGGCACAGCGATCTCTGCTTTGCACGTTCCCAGTTCCCTGCTCTTTCTTCTCCTGCCCAAGGCCACTCGGAACAACTCCCACTCCCGTCCCCACCCCACGCTACCAGCAACCCACCTTCCACGCTCCTTTGCTAGGAAAGGCTGAGGCTTCGGTTCTCCAGTTGTCGGATTTTTCATTCTCAACCCTCACCCAGGTGGTCCCAGGAACATATTTTTGTACCCTGGACAACCCTCTCCCCTGGATTCAGATCAGACTTTCTCCCTGGTGACTAATGAGGGTCCGTCTACCCCCAAATCTTGTTTGTATTGCCCCTGGTTCCGAACATAAAATGCATGCATTAGAGATGTCAGGGACATTTGTCAACACAAGTGTGGCAGAACCTGAAATACAAAGCTAAACATGAAACAATCTAAATTAACTGCTTTCCTCTCCATGCATCAAACTTATGTTTTATTCCACCCGATTCATGATCCTTCTCTCTCACACACTCATTTTCAGGCCCAAGACTTAACCAATGTATTAAACATCCCTTCTAGTCTGACAATCTACACACTAATGAATACCTTCAGGGGACACTAGTTTGCAAAGCATACACAGTTTACACAGAATTTCTTAGGGGAGGGCAAAAATGAATATCCTATGAAAATTCTGAGTACTGCAACTCTAAATTATTAATCCTAATTATTAAAAAAAAGTGTTTAGTGTTTTTGTCTTGTTTGTAATATTGTACTATTAAGAATAGCCTTTATGAGCCGGGGATTTAGCTCAGTGGTTCCACCACCTGCCTCACAAGCACAAGGTCCCAAGTTCAATCCCTGGTACAGGAAAAAAAAAAAAGAATAGATTTTTAGCAAAAATGGACAGAATTTCTAGAAAGGTCCTTAGCAGCCTGCCTAAATTTTGTTAGGAACTAGTGAGCTATTGGTTTAAGACCCTTTGAAAAAATAGGTATACTGCATTTTATTATAATAGCCTTTTTTGAAATAGAGTATGCTTTTTTTTTAATTGGAAAAGACAGCTTGGAACACTACACGAAGGGCATTGTAAAGTCCTTGAAGGCACTTAGACATCATTAAATGTGCATTTCTTTTTCTCCCTCTCTATATTTTCTTTTCTTCCTATTGCTTGAGTCTACCACCGTGTCCATACAGTACTAGGTGGTAAAGTGAACAATGCAGTATACATGGCTGCCTTTTCCTGCAATTCATCAGAAATGGAAGAATGACTGATGTCCACTTATCTGCTTCTCTTTGCTGTACTTGTAAAGAAAGAGTATCTGATATGCAGAGAAAAAGATCGTCTGTAATAGGGGGCTATGAACCCCTCCTTTTGAACTTATGTTCCTATCTAGTTCTACTCCAAATTATTTCTTTACTCCTTTTGTCTCTTTGTGCTCATGTCTTATATATGAAAGGAAAAATATAACATAACTCCCCCAAATTCTGTTTCCATATACTTGGAAACAAGTCATATGAACTGGGGGTGTAGCTCAGTGTCAGATTTTGCACAGCATGTGCAAGACTCTACATTCCATTCCAAGCACTGCCACTACAATAAAAGAGGCATCGTCTTTATCTTTATAACTAAGTCAATAAAAAGTATAACTATTTAAGATAAACAGTTGATTACAGCTGAATATGAATAATGCATAATTGCTTCAAAGCACAAACTGATGTCCTTGTCTGCCAAAGTCACAGTTAATGATGGCCAATAACCCTAAAGTTAGTGGAGCCTTCTTCCCTAGAATGAGGGCACCTGGCTGCTGTAAAAGTCACCTTCCACATTTGAGCATCCTGACCTTAGTGAGTTAAGAGAATGAAGAAACTTTTTTGTTTGCTTCACTGTGGACACTGAGACTTCTCTAGTGACACCTGATAGGCAACATGTTTTTTTGTTTGTTTGTTTTTTGTTTGTTTTTGTACTGGGGATCAGGTCCCTGTGCTTGCAAGGAAGACGGCAGAACCACTGAGCTAAGTCCCAAGCCCTGAAACATGACATTTTTGCACACAGTATTTGCTTTTGAAAAGTTGTCTAATCATCATTTTGTAAAGCAAATCCAATTTAAAATACTCCAAAGAGATCTACCTGTTTAAAGAGATACTTTAGCAGATAAAAAGAAAGCTACCTTTGAGAAAGCAAAGAATCTTTACATAATTAGAGTTAAAACTCAATGGTTTATTTCTCAGAATCAGCAGCATTAACATATTTTCTAGAGGGAAATATAGTTTTATGATGCATTGTAATAGTATAATATGTATGTAATGAGATTATTCTTGCACACCAGGCTTTGAGGACATGTCGTGAGGCTGTCACTGTTCTTGTTCTTTTGTTTAAAAGGAGAGCCATCTGTTATATCAGGAATGCTAAAAGTGTCTGTGCCACTTTACACAACCTGTGAAAGTCAAGGTCTTACCCTAGAGAATTTAGATCCCATGGCAGTTAAATATTATTCAGAAGATAATGATATTTAGCTGGAAATTATTTAGGTACATTAAAGACATAAAGTTTCAGGTTAAAAACTGATACTCCTTTCCTTTCCTTAAAGAATAAATTGTAGATATACAATTTGTTCTAATGCAGAAGACAAGTGTGGTAAATACATAGACTCGGATGTTAGTAGGCAGTACAATTCAGATACAAGGAACAACAAAGGCAATATGAACATTTCTTGGGCTTCAGGAGTTTGATCCTACTGAGTTGTCACATAGTTTGGACACATCTGGTGCAATGGCAAGATTTCTCCTATACAATGAGAGTGTCACTATTTTAGGAATCAAAAATTTTAAGCCACCTTATTTAAGAAGAAGCTTCTCGGGGCTGGGGATTTAGCTCACTGGTTCTGCCACCTGCCTCGCAAGCACAAGGACCTTCTCTTGGGAGAGAAAAGCCTTCTTCTACTCAGGCATGTTCCAAATATTCAGCTAAATATAATACTTGCTCTCAAGCTTTATGAAGGATCTCTGTCTAGCTTAGAAAGAAGTGTTAAACAGACACCTGTATATCAATAAAAAAAAAACACTGAGCCAACAACCCTGATAATAATGCTAGCTATTACTGTTATTATAAAATGCCCATTGTATGCCAGGCTCTATTAAATTCTCTACGTTAGCACTGATCCTCACTGCAATCCCACAATGTTATTTTGGTTAGAATGTAAAATAATTCATTCATCTACTCACTCATTCATTTATTCATTCAACAAAAATCTTTGAATATTTGCTGTATATCAGAAAATTAAAGCTCAAAATCATTAAAAACCATGCCTGAGTCATCCAATAACAGTATATTACTATGCTACTAGACACAAATCCAGGCAAATTAATCCCAAAGTTAGTATTCTTTTCATGACTAGTAGGCTCTGTCTCTCTGCTTTTGTCTGTATGTCAACTCTATTTCCATTTTTATTTGATCAATAATTCAATCTTCTTTTGATTAAAGTAATAAAATATAGGATAAAGAAAGCCAGAGATGTTTGTCTCACATGGAGAGGGATTTTCTCATCTCTTTCCAACAACAGTAAACAGCACCTGCACTGTCTCTTTTGGACTGAGAAGATGAGAAGAGTCTAGTTGGGAAACCACTATACCAAAATATTTGGGCAGCTTATTATGGATCACAATGCAGTATGATCTATGTCAGGCTCCTCTTAGATGTACAGCATCTTTTCCAGAGAATAGGCAGATATTCTAACATTTTTCCTAATCTTATTATCTCCTCTAATCTTGATCCCTGCACACCTACAACATTATCATGTTATTGTTAAATCAACTACTGCGCCTGCCAACCAGTCACTAAACAGGACTCTGAATGAAGTGACTTTGTTCTACTTATTTAGTTCTTTCCAATTCAACTTTCTTGTCTTTAATATTGGAATAACACTAATGATGATAACAATATCTTTTCTGCAGTAGTAGTTTGAGCGCTGAACATACAGAAAACATTCAATAAAGAGAAGCTTTCCAAAAGGGAAATTACTAAGATTGATATTTTATCCTTGGCAATGGAAACATTATATTGTTTTGGGCATCAAAGTTTAGAACATGTTGGTAAGCTTGACATGAAAATGACTAAAAGAGAGATGAAATTTTTTTAAAAGAACATATAATGGCCAATCACAGAGTTAGAATATTAACCCTAGAGATAGAATATGGGAACTACCTCATAGCAACTTCCAATGGTTATAGCACCATCAACAGAAGATGAATTTATTCCACAATAAGTATTCCAGAGAGAACTGAAGAATAATGGAACAGACCTTTCTATCCATGTATCAGGTCACCATCTATACCAGCATTTTCAAATTGGGGGAATCATATCCTTGAGAATTCATGTAAATATTTTCCAGGGGGGGATGTGAGAATATGTATTGGAAATATATAGTTTTAAGATAATTATTTTCCAAAATCACTACTTTTATGTGTAGTGATTTTTTTACTTTCAACCAAAATGTATATATCCTTCACAACTTTTCTTTTCATTCCTCCTCTCTCACAAAAGAAAATCAAACATCTCATCAATCCTCTGTCATGCATTGCTCAAGGCATGAAATCTTTGGGGAACTAAATTCAAAACTAACGTGCAGATATAGAACTCCTTAAAGAAATGAGAACAAAGCAAAAAGATCATCTGTAAGAAGTACTGATAAAGCAGTATTTTATTTAAGGAACAATTCTTTTTTTTTTCTTTCGAGACTGGGTCTCACTATGTAGTTGAGACTGACCTGGAACTCACTATGCAGCCCAGGCTGGTCTTGAATTCATAGTGATCCTCCTGCCTCAGTCTCCCAAGTGCTGGGATTACAGGAATGCACCACCACTTCCAGCAGGAACAAATTCATTTTAAGGATCAATGTCTTATCTCCCTGTTATGGTTTACATCTAGAATGTCAAAAATCTTGTGTTTTCAGAGGTGGGGCTTTTAGAAGGTATCTGGATCATCAAAGAGCTATTCTCATCAATGGACTGATCTATTGGTGAGTCTATAGCTATATATGATGCTAGGATTGTGACATGGTCTGAAGAAGCTTGTCACTGAGGAAGGCATTCTCCAATGCCTATCT